GGAGAAGGTAATGAAGGTAGGAAATGAGATGCTATTGTATAAGTAATTACCGTATCATTAAAAAGAACAATGAAAATAGTTTAATGCGTTTCCCATAGATTGAGGTAAGAGTTTAACCAAGCATTTAATAAATTATTACCTAACATCATAATAAATGACTACAATAAATCTTCTAAAATAAAAAAAAAAAAAAAAGTGCAAACAGATTATTAAAAAAGTTTTCGTAACTTTTAATGGAAATAAAAGAATGAGAAGATTCTTAGCCTTTGAGAATCGATTGACTCTCATCTAATCAGTCAATTGTCAGGAAGATTTGTTTCAATTAATCTACGCTTTGGAATGCAATAACACAAATGCCGGTATAATATAATAGACGACATTATAGGCGGACAAGACCGACTATTAAATACCCTATGCCACATGGTCTTACACAATTCTCATCTATATTATAGAAAGGAAAAATTATGTCTTGTTTCTATATAAGAGCATATTGTTCATGTGCGTATTTATGGGGAATGAGGGCCCAAAACACAACGCAAACGTAGTACAAGTTTTATCCTTAAAATAGATAGCATAGATGGTCCAAATTTTGTAGAGCTAATTTTTGTCTGAGATTACGACTATTATTAACTCATAGACTTTTCTGCTCTACAAAGGGTTAAGTTTCGTGCAAATCCTTACTAGGATAGCGTCAAAAAAATAGGCTGATATGGTCCAAATTTAGTACAGTTAATCTTTTTATGCAAAGTTCGTATTATAATAGAAGTTTCTTCACGAAGAATTGAAAATTATACCTTTTTGTTGCATCAACTTCAGTTTTGATCCGGCCAGTTTGATTTCAGTCGGTCCAAAGTTTCCATAGCAACTTAGAGTGCGCAAATGCTACTACTTAGTCACGCATGGCGAGAAATTTCGAAAATTACAATTTTTTTTTTTACTTATCAATGGTGGACAGAAGTAAGAGGACTCAGTTATCAGTCGTGAACATATAAAAGGTTTCTCTGGACTCACTTGTCAATGGTGAACAATTAAGAGGTTTTCCCGGAC